AGTGCGTCTCCTGCTCTAGGTGCTGGTGAGGCTGCTGCTCTCGGTGCTAGTACGTCTACTGCTCTAGGTACTGGTGAGGCCGTGGCTTCAGGTGCTGGTGAGTCTGCTCTCTCTGGTACTGCGCCAACTACGGTCTCGCACTTCTTCACCCTTGACTCAGGAGCTTCCCGCTCCTTCTTTCGCGACTGCACCACACTCACGCCACTTAGTCGGCCAGTTCCAGTCTCCCTGGCGGACCCCTCCGGGGGTCCAGTCCTTGCCCACTACTCCACGGTTCTGCCGTGTCCGGCCGTCCCGTCCGGCTCGCTGTCAGGTCTTTACCTCCCCTCGTTCTCTACGAACTTGGTGAGTGGAGCTGACCTCCAGGATCGGGAGGTTGACCAGTTCACTCCTGCGAGTCAGCGAGTGACTCACTGTACGTGTGCTAGGACGGGCCGGCACTTGGCCACGTTCACCCGTGCACCTGGCTCGAGTCTGTACACACTGACCACTGAGTCCCCTCAGGTAGCTGCGTCTGCGTCTACGTCTGGTCAGCTGGCGGCCCCCTGCGAGTGTCGCGCTTTGTCGCACGACACTCTCCTATGGCACCACCGTCTTGGTCACCCCTCCTTGCCTCGCCTGCGTAGCATGCACTCTCGCTCCCTGGTCTCTGGTCTTCCCAGGTCTCTGCCTGCCCTCCCTCCCTCGCCTGCGCCGCCCTGCATTCCTTGCGTCGAGGGGCGGCAGCGCGCCGCTCCTCACTCCTCCTCGTTTCCTCCCACAGAGGCTCCACTGCAGACGCTCCACCTGGACGTGTGGGGCCCAGCCCGCGTCCAGGGACAGGGCCGCGAGCGGTACTTCCTGCTGGTTGTCGACGACTACACGCGTTACACCACGGTCTTCCCCTTGCAGAGCAAGGGGGACGTCCCTGATGTTTTGATCCCTTGGATCCGCGCTGTTCGTCTCCAGCTCCGCGAGCGGTTCCGGCGGGACTTTCCTGTCCTGCGTCTGCACTTTGACAGAGGTGGTGAGTTCTCCTCCAACCTCTTGGCAGCCTACTGTGCGGAGCACGGCATCACCCAGTCGTTCACGCTTCCGGCCTCTCCACAGCAGAATGGGGTTGCTGAGCGTCGCATTGGCTTAGTCATGGAGGTCGCTCGTACCTCCATGATCCATGCGGCTGCCCCCCATTTCCTGTGGCCGTTTGCGGTCCGGTACGCCGCGCATCAGCTCAACCTCTGGCCCCGTGTCTCCTTGCCGGAGACCTCGCCCACACTGCTGTGGACGGGGAAGGTTGGTGATGCGTCGCGTTTCCGGGTCTGGGGTGCTCGTGCCTTTGTCCGCGATACCACCGCGGACAAGCTCTCCGCCCGCGCTGTTCCCTGTGTCTTCCTTGGCTTTGTCCCTAACGCGCCTGGTTGGCAGTTTTACCATCCCACCTCGCGCCGTGTCTTTGCGTCTCAGGACGTCACGTTCGACGAGTCGGTTCCCTTTTACCGTCTCTTCCCCTACCGCACTGCCCCGCTCCCCCCCCCCGCCGCTCTTCCTCGCTCCAGGTGCTCCCCAGGTAGACCCCCTCCCCACTCCTGGTCCTGCTCCTTCAGGTGTTTCTCAGGTAGACCCTCCTCCCTTGACTGCGCCGGTTGAGGTCACTGGTGACTCAGGTCCTACTGAGGGTGGTCCTTCTCGGGGTGCTACTTCTAGGGGTGCTGAGCCTGGGGGTGCGGAGCCTGGGGGTGCTGAGCCTGGGGGTGCTGAGCCTGAGGGTGCGGAGCTTGAGGGTGTGGAGCCTGGTGGTGCTGAGCCTGAGTGTGAGGGGTCTGGGGGTGCTGAGCTTGGCGGTACTGACGCTGGAGGTTCTGGAGCTACTGAGGGTGCTGGCGCTGGAGGTTCGGGAGCTGCTGGAGGGCCTAGTACTGGTGGCGCTAGAGCTGGAGGTTCTGGAGCTGCTGAGGGTGCTCGTGCTGGAGGTTCTGGAGCCGCTGGAGGTACTGGTGCTGAGGGTACTGACACCGGAGGTTCTGGAGCCGTTGGGGGTGCGGGCGCTGAGGGTTCTGAGTCTGCTGTTGCGCGGTCTCCTTGGAGTAGCCGCCTTCGTCCACGTGTGCCTCTCACCCCACAGCAGCTGCAGGACTGGTACGGTCGCCGTCAGCGTCGCGCTGCTGGAGCTAGGAGTGGTGCTGGTCCTTTGTCTACTGGAGGTGCTGGAGTCGCTGGTTCTGGAGGTGCTCGTGCTGGAGACACTGAGGCTGGAGACCCTGGGACTGGAGGTGCTGGGTCTGGGGGTGCTGCTGCTGGAGACACAGAGGGTGGAGACCCTGGGACTGGGGGTGTCGGCTCTGGGACTGGAGCTTCTGGAGCTGCTGGAGGTACGGGAGCTGCTGGAGGTACTGGAGCTGCTGGAGGCACTGGAGCTGCTGGAGCTGCCGGTACTGGTGCAGCTGCGCCGACACGACTGTTCTTCGCTCCGCCGTCTCCGTCGTCTCTGCCGCCGCCTGACTCTGCTCTTCGTCAGGTTGTTACTCTCCCGTCGTCTACTGGTCTTCCGTTACAGCCTGGCTCACCGCTACCTGCTCCCTCTCCTTACACTGAGCAGCCAGGTAGTCTTGCTACGCGTCGTGAGCCTGCGTCGCGTCCTGTCTCGCCTGTTCGTTCTGGTCGTACCGTTCGTCGTGTCGCTCGTGCGCGTCAGCCGGCTGTCCCCAGCGCACACCTTGTTGTCCGTCGTCCTTCCTCTGCTCCGCAGCCTGTTCCTCTGCCGTCTCCCCCTGCGTCCTCTCTGCCTGCCGTTCCGGACCCTGAGTCTGACCGGTTTCGTACTGAGCACCCTACTGTCACGCGTCTCCTAGCCACTGTTGTCACTGACCCGTCGTTTGAGTCTACTGCTGCGTCTGCCTTGGTCGCTGAGCTTGTTGACTTTGCTGCTGCCTGTCGTCTAGACTACGCCGCCAGTCTTGTTGCTGAGTCTGAGTCTGTCTGTCCTCCGTCCGTCGGGGGTGAGTGTGCTCTTAGCACGGACGTCCTTGAGGACAGGCAGGAGGAGTTCCAGTGTCTTGCTGCTGCTTTACCTCATCTTGTGTCCTCGCTACTTGCCCCTGAGGGAGACCCGGATGCACCAGACATCCCGACTCCGCGCTCTTACGCAGAGGCGATAGAGGGTCCCTACTCCTCTCAGTGGCAGGCAGCCATGGACGCAGAGATGGCTTCCTGGAAGTCCACAGGCACCTACGTTGACGAGGTTCCCCCACCTGGGGCGAACATCGTCAGTGGCATGTGGATTTTCAGGGTGAAGCGGCCGCCGGGTTCTCCGCCTGTCTTCAAGGCGCGTTACGTGGCTCGAGGCTTCAGTCAGCGAGAGGGAGTTGACTTCTTCCAGACCTTCTCCCCCACCCCGAAGATGACCACTCTTTGGGTGCTGCTGCATGTTGCTGCTCACCGTGACTACGAGCTTCACTCTCTTGACTTCAGCACAGCTTTCTTGCAGGGCAGCCTGCACGAGGAGATCTGGCTGCGCCGCCCCCCGGGCTTCACTGGGTCGTTCCCTCCTGGCACCCAGTGGAGCCTCCGGCGGCCAGTCTACGGTCTCCGCCAGGCGCCACGTGAGTGGCACGACACACTGAGGACTACGCTTGCGGCTCTTGGGTTCGCGCCTTCTACTGCTGACCCGTCGCTGTTTCTGCGCACCGACACTTCACTGCCGCCGTTCTACATCCTCGTGTACGTCGACGACTTGGTTTTTGCCACTGCTGACACTGAGGCTCTCGCCCACGTGAAGTCGGAGCTGCAGAAGAGACACACGTGCACAGACTTGGGTGAGCTGCGCAGCTACCTTGGCTTGCAGATCACCCGGGACAGAGCACGTCGCACCATCACCTTGACTCAGTCACACATGGTGCAGCAGGTCCTTCAGCGCTTCGGCTTCACCTGGTCTTCAGCACAGGCCACTCCTCTGGCTACAGGTCACACGCTCTCAGCTCCACCTTCGGACGAGTCCGTAGAGCCGAGTGGTCCTTACCCAGAGCTAGTCGGCTGCCTCATGTACCTGATGACTTGCACTCGACCTGACCTCGCGTACCCTCTTGGTCTTCTGGCTCGCTACGTGGCTCCTGGTCGGCACCGACCTGAGCACATGGCTGCTGCTAAGAGGGTACTGCGCTACTTGTGCAGCACATCAGGCATGGGGCTAGTGCTTGGAGGGACGAGCCCAGTTGTCCTCACTGGGCACTCAGACGCTTCTTGGGTTGACGACCTGGCTACTCAGCGGTCGTCACAGGGTTACACCTTCAGCCTTGGCTCTGGTTCAGTTTCGTGGCGTTCTACACGCTCGTCTTCAGTTCTCAGCTCCAGTTGTGAGGCTGAGATCTACGCCACAGCCATGGCTGCACAGGAGTTACGCTGGCTCACCTACCTGCTGACTGACTTGGGAGAGCAGCCTCGTTCTCCTCCAGTGCTGTACGTCGACAACAAGGCCGCCATTGCCTTGTGTGAGGAGCACAGACTGGAGCACAGAA